GTTGGCACTTTCGAGACGCGACGACAGGAGACCAGTCCAAAAGCGACGACGGTTCCGCGTTTCGCAACCACGACCCACCTACGAATTCCGAGACCCCTTGAAGCTTTGGAAATATAGCAAAGGGCAAATTATTTTTTGATCCTTATTTATTTTTTTGATCCTCCGGTTCTATTTTTTTTGATTCTTGTCAATTCTTTGATCCCCCACCCGATAGCAAGAGCTGCAAGAGCTTCGTGCAAAAGATCACGAGCTTCGAGTGAAAGACTCGAATCTGTTGCCGTTGATTGTCGTTGACGGCATGAACTTCCCGATGTGCCTTGCTGGTCGGGTGGAGGGATCAGGACTTCCACGCTTGCAGGAATTGAATGACATCCTAAGGTGCACCTTAAGCGCGCTCCTAAAGGCGTGCCCCGGCGCATCGCTGCACTTGGTTTTTGATGGTCTCCGCGATGACGAGGGTTATGAGGCCAAGGCTTCCCAAGCCTCCAGACGCCGGGTGAGGGCACTTGCAGAAACAGCTGAAGCCGTTGCCACCTTGCAGGAGCTCAGGTTTTCCAGACGTGGTGGTGCTGTGAGGGCAAACTTACCCTTGCTGGCACTACTGAAAGAAGTTGTGGGCGCATCTTCAGGGCTCAAACTCGTGTCACAGACCCTGATGTCGCCGTGGCACTGTTTGCCACACAGCATCGCGCGGTTCTGCTTAAGTTTGACTTCATTGTTAGCCTTGAAGGCTGCATTCTGTTGGGCCGGTCGTTCGAGTTCTGCCGCGAACCAGATGGCCTGAAAGCCAAGATCCTCTCTGTGAAGGACAGGTGCGACATCCGCGGTGTGGATAGTATGAATGTTTTGCGTGTCTATGCTTGTCGGGCAAGTACTGATCTCACACCACCTGTCGAGTCGGGGTCAGATGGGCCAGGCAGTTTGGCAAAAAGCCTCTCTGGCAAGCGGTCGTAGCTGACCTGCTCAGGGAGCGTGCTGATGCTGGTCTCTTCTTAAGACATTATGACCTCTCAAGACAAAGCAAACACATGGAAATACGGCGGTGAACTTGCATGCAGCCTTACATCCATGGTCCCACCTGGCGATCTGGATCCTTTGGCTGCGGAGCTCTGCAATGAAATGGAAGGCCGGCCGGCTGATGGCGTTGGTGGCCCCTGGGCCACGGCGCGGCTCGTGCGAGCTTTTTGCCATGGCCACCTCCCCAGTCAGACGTTAAACCTCCTGCGACGTCAGCGGGCGTTCATCAACTGCGAGCCTGCCGACTTTGTGATGCACACAGGTGGAAGAGCAGGCCGGCGGCCGGTGCACGATTTGAGCAAGGCTTGGATCGTGCGTGTGGCAGCGCTCTTCTTGGGGAAGCCCGGAGGCGACAGTTGGGAGGACGAAGACAGGGATTTTCGATTCCCGCAAGTCGCCCTGGAAGGGGTTTCCAAGGCTGCGCTTCAACAAGCCTGGAAGCTCGGGCTAGTGATCGCCAGTGCCGAAACAGAAGCTCATGAATGTCGGCGTCAGCACGTGGCAGGCATGGAGCAGAAGCATGAACATGCATCAAAGGAGGAGCAGATCAAGGAATGCCGAAAAAAAGCTCAGCCAGGAGTTACTGGACCACCTTGGTGGCGAGCGCCTGGGTGGAATGACAGACGTTGAGAAAGTGAAGCTTACGGAGAAACAGGAGCCGTTGACCGCAGCAAAACTCCCCCGATGGTTCTGGGACGACCATGACGATCCGGACACTTTGCGAGCGTGGAAGTTCTTTTTCATTCTCAGTTGGCATGAGCTGCCGGAAGACTTCCTAGAATTGGTTCGACAGGTGATCACGCACAAGGGCTTGAGCGAAGCTGGTGTGAACCATCATTCGCTATTCATCCTGGCTCTGAACACAGTGTCTGGTGATGATGTTTCCCGAAGCCATCTTGAAGAGGTCTGCCAAGGGTGCAGGAGCAGGGTTGGGGAAAGTTGCTGCCCAAATCGGCAACGGATCTCCAGTCGCTTGGTCCTTGGTGGTCTTTCCTGGAGGCTCCTCTCCTGGTTGCAAGAGGCCTTTGCCTAACAGGGGGGGATGGTCCTTTCTTCCGCAGGCATCTGCAGCTCGATGGTGGGCCCGCCGTCCTAGCAAAGAGAGCACAAAGCTGGGCGCGAGGCCTGGGTTGGAATCAAGAAGGTCTGCGAGGAGGACGTCGCCATGGTCGAGAGAATGCTGGTCGAAGCCGGAGGTGAAGCAAGGAAGGGCCGTGCAGCCGCATTTAGAGTGACTCATATCAGTGAGAAGGACGTGCTCAAGTTCCAGCGGCGCCTGGTGGTGATCCGGGCATCTCCCCGGGTGTTAGAGGTTTATCGTCTCAGCTACTGAGCCCAGCCGGAGAGATGGCAAAAGTACGAGGATGTGCGACAGGCAAGGTCAGACTTGAGGACGTCAGTCGAGAAGCCTTATTTATAGTTGAAACAAATATCTGCATGTGTATAATGCACACATATAAGTATACCTATATATATATATATAGACATAGATGGATAGATAGATGGATAGATAGATAGATGGATAGTTAGGTAGATGGATAGATAGACAGGTAGATGGATAAATAGACGGATAGGTATTTAGACAGACAGATAGCCAGGTAGGCAGATACACATATAGATAGTCATATAGATAGCTACATAGAAAGAAAGAAAGATAGATAGATAGATAGATAGAGTTAGATAGATAGATACTTAGAATTAGATAGATAGATAGATAGATAGATAGATAGACAGATAGATAGACCGAATAATATGGATCGATAGATGTGGATGTAGAGATAGATATAGATGTAGATATAGATATAGATATACGTGTAGAGATATGTTCACATGCACAGGTATATGCGTGCATGCATGCATACATGCATGCATGCATGGGTGGATCGATGGATGGATGGATGGATGGATGGATGGCTGGCTGGCTGGCTGGCTGGCTGGCTGGATGGCTGGATGGATGTATATATATATATACACACACATACGTACATACACAGATACATACATACATACATACATACATACATACATACAAAGATTACGTTACGTTACGTTACAATACGTTACGTTACGTTACGTTACGTTACGTTACATACATACATACATACATGCATACATACATACATACTTACTTACATGCATACATGCATACATGCATACATGCATACATGCATACATGCATACATGCATGCACACATACATACACATGTGCATATACATACACAAAAGCAGATACACATGCACATAAATACATAAATACATACGATATATACATACATAGATATATACATACACACACATACATACATCAATACATGCGTACATAGGTATATCTATACCTGTATATATATATATATATACATATATACACATACACATATGACGTGTATCTATATACACACACGTATCATTGCCTTTGTTCTCCGTATGGCTGGCTGCCTATATAAGAATCCTTTGATTGACTGTCACGGGGCCGGGTAGAGTCCCAAAGTATAGCAGTAGCATTACTAGTAGTGGTAGTAGTAGTAGTAGTAGTAGTAGTAGCAGCCGCAGGAGTAGCAGTAGCAGTAGCAGTAGCAGTAGCAGTAGCAGTAGCAGTAGCAGTAGCAGTAGCAGTAGTAGTAGTAGTAGTAGTAGTAGTAGTACTAGTACTCGTCGTCGTCGTCGTCGTAGCAGTAGTAGCAGTAGTAGCAGTAGTAGTAACAGTAGCAGTGGGAGCAGGAGAAGCAATAGGAGTAGTGGTTGCGGTGGTGTGCTGGTAGTGTTGGTTGTAGTAGCCGTAGTCGTCGTCCTACCAAAAGCCGAAAGTAGTTGTGGCAGTTTTGTGCTTCTCTATCCCTGATACTGAAACTCGAGACTCGGCCAAAACTCCGCAAGACTGGCCGAGCAAGTTTCCCAACGCCATCCAGCATTCCTCCAAAGGCTTGCTACAACCTGGTTATCTCGGGCCGTCTTGGGTCAATGCACTGGCACTTCCACGAGAGGCTGCGAAGACCTTTCACGGTGCGACGTCAGATTTGAGGCGAGGCTCTCAGCTGAAGAATGTAAAACCTTGCTTAGCTTCTTCCCACTTGCTGGTTTGATTGTTGGGCGAGGTGTCGGTTTGAGGCCAGAGAGTAGCGGGTGCATCAGAGTCCACATGCTGGAAATGGCAGTCCACAGCTGGGAAGACTTGCCCCTGTCCGCATTCCGACGTTTCGCTCTTGGCCTCAAATAGTATTGCCAAGACCAGGCTTGAATAGCAACACATAGGTCAGTGACGAGATCTGTGTCCGGGCATTGCAGCTGGGACGAACAGTAGCTCCTGTCTTGACATGGGTGGCTTGTGACATTGCTCCATGTGGTTGATTCGTAAACCGCCGCAAAATGTTTGTTTGCCACTCCCTGGTTCCAAACCCTTGAGCTCGTGCATCCAGAATTAGACTCGGCGCCACACTGTGGCGCAAAGCTGCGGGCAAGTCGTGCATCCATGGCTTCTGAAGTAGTGCGACTGCTAGTCCAAGACGTCTGGGGAACTTCGCACTTCGCTTCATGTACAGTGGAGCTGGGCATCGAAACTCACACGACTGAGGGCTTAAGAAACGTTGACGGGCTTCAGCTAAGTGCTGCTGACGCGGTTGCCTTCAATCTCGTGCGCCTGCATGCATGCCTCGATACATACATACATACATACATACATACATACATACATACAGATCCATATGTATATGCATATATATATATATACATATGTGTGTATGTATATGTATATGTGTATATATATATATATATATTGATTCATTTGTGTATATATATATATCTACGCATACATATACATATACATATACATATACGTATACGTATACGTATACGTATACATATATATATATATATACATTTGTGTACATGCATGTTATCAAATATGTACGTATCCTGGGTTGCGGTGGACCGGCTTCAGAGCAAGGCTTCTAGCCAAATCTGGCAAATGGACCATGAAATGGGATGAGTCTTCCCAGTCAAGCTTCTCCTGCCGCATAGCAAAACAACAGGCCTAGTGTCTGAAGCATGGTTGGCTCAACCTGGCACTTTTTGTGACATTGCCTGCGCCCCATGCAAGATTCAGGGTAAACGAGAGGCGCCAGGCTTGGCCTCATTTTTTTTGAATCGGTACTGACATGCCCCAAGCCTTACTTACCTTGAGTTGTGACTGTGGTCTAGGGTCTAAGGTTGCAGAATGTATATAGGACATCTCGTAAGTCTTGCTGACATGTACAATGTACGACCTTGCTAGGCAGTACTAAATATGCACCAGAAGCATCACTAGTCACTCGTCTGACAGTCTGTCTCATTCCACGCTCCTTGTGGCAAAAGCGTTCCTTGTCCCATGCTATTTACGGCTTGCTTTCAGCCTATTGCTGAAGCTCAGCTTTGCTGATTTCCGCTCTGAGCCCGCCCATGTCGTAGCGCATCCGGGTCATCGGCGCATACCACAGCGAGCACCGCTGCTCCTCAGCCAAATGTGCCTGCCTCAAAGTTGGGCTGTTGCAGATCACACATTCGAAAGCTGCTGCCCAGCTCCGAGTGCCACCACATTTTCGCACGTATGTCATCTTTTTACACGGCTTCCCGTGCACAAGCATACCCCCGCAGCGATGCTCCAGAGAGTGGCCGAAGGACACAAGCTCTTTGTAGCGACGAAGATCCAGCAGCGCAGCGTGGCCAGGCAAGGAGAACGGATGTTCGCAGGTCGTGTCCACAAGTGGTACACGGCCGACAAAGCGGCCTGGTGGACTCGACTTGACGATCGCCCTGGTGGTGGGCCGAAACCGGATCTTGCGCTGAGACATTCCTGGGAAGGCCGGGATCACAAGCATCAAGTCTGGGTTATCTCGGAGTGCCTGAATGCCTTCACTGATCCAGGAATAATCCTTCTGCCTGGAGACGATCATGTCTGACTCCAGGATAGCCACGTAGTCTGCATTACACTGGTCGATAGCAAAATAATGGTCCAATTCTTTCACCGGCAAATCGTTGTCTAAGGATCCATGCCCCATTGACTTTGCTTCATCGTCAAGCCGAAAGGAGTTGCCCCACGCAGCAGTCAGGTTTACCAATTGCATATAGGCAGCTGAATGGTTCACGGCTAGCCATTCCTCGAGATACTTCTCACGCACCAATGAGTCTGCCACGCTGGCAATAGAGGCACCTACCTTTTCGCCCTGCGCATCCACCACCAAATAGCGGTGGCTGAAGATGTTCTCGTGCTGCGAGCTCAAGTGCTTGACTCTGAGGAGCAGCTCGGTAGCTGCACTCGTCTTTGCGATGACAGCCAAACAAACCGTTGGAGACTCTTCTCCACTGGATGGCAGCTCTTCTCGACCGGGTTCAGCTTCGTGTGGGCCGGCAGAAGTCAGATTTTCTTGTTGATGTTGCTCTTCCTGCAAAAAGTCCGCGCGAACTTGTGCAGTTGTAAGCAGTAGGGACAAGGAGGGATCGTCCTTCACCCCGATCTTTTCGCCGGGCATGTTTTGCAACATGACAGATGAACCTGCCCTTCCATCCAGGTTTCCCTCCAGCACGGTGACTTGAGAGCGCTCTTGACCCTGACCCTTCGACAGGATGTCATGGATCCTGACGCAAGCATAGGCTATGCTCAGCAACAAGGCTGCTGTCCACAGGCGAACCCCTCGACAAGGGCACAGCGACATCTGTGCCGGCTCCGCATGTGCGCATATCTGCGCATCAACATGGCAAGTGCGACATTTTTGGCAAACACAAGTTACCTAAGCAACCAAAGCTTCAAGTCGATGACTTCACTGCCTTACTTCTTTCTGATGCCATACTATGTGCTTTCGTCGGAAGTTCACCTTCGCACTTCAAGCCGACATTGTTGGAGTGCACTTCTGGTGGCTCAGTCCCGGAAGATTCGCAGTGTCCTGAGTCATCTCGACCCAGATCCTGTTCCCAATTTCTCTCCTTGGCCAATAGGGCTCTGCTTTGTACACGCTTGGTGCTCAGGGTTTTTCAGCGGCCCTCCTGCTGCTTAAACAACCCCACCGCCCCCACACTGAAGTCCGCGCAAACCGAGGTATACTGACACAAACCTTGCTTGCGCCGTTTGGCTTCAACAGTGCTTGCCATGCACCATCCTGTGGTAAACATCGCACCTGTCGACTATTGCACACAAACGCGCACAGAAATATAAACCTTAGGCCGAAGAGGTAACGATGATGAATGGCTATGCTGTCCAAGTTTGTACGCGTCCTGACATTGACGGCAAGTTCAAATGCGATGAGAATGAAAAATGCATGCCGATCCTGCTCACTCCTCCGGGCGCGACCAACCCGAAATCCCAATATGCCACCGCCCGTGCCATTACGGTTAGCTCATCAGTCCTGAACCATTGCGGTGCAAGCTACGTGCCGATCCCACTTAAACACTGAGTCAGGAAGGCCAGATCAGGTTGTGCGACAGCTAGGCACTTGAGCGTTGCTATGGAAAAACCCAAATCGAGCTTCAAGCACTATATGCGTAGCCTGCACAAAGTTCCACCTACTATTGGGTGTAAGGGCAGGCTCCGTCTACTGCAGCGTTCTTCACTGCTGTGGTGATACCAGACTTCCGCCAACGAACACTATGAGCCATGAACAAGCAGTGCACGAACATACTCGTTTCCAGATGACCCAAACACTAGCATCGGATACCTGCATTTCGCCGAAAGATATGATCCACCTTTGCCTTGGTTTATCAAGTGCATCAGCTCCCACCGCAGCGAGGCCTGCCATTTACGAAGGCCTCTGACCCCAAAGGCCCGTGAAGGAAAGCCGAACGGTCAGAGCAACGTCCGCGCGACCTGGTCAAAGACTTCGACCCCCACTTATCAACGGCTGCGGTATCTCAAAAATGCTCCTCTGCAGTCATGCGACATGCTGCACACTTCTGCATGGAAGTGTTTTCTATCCAACGGCTGGAGCTACATCAGCGGTCGATGTGCTAGTCAACTCATGGCAAAGACAACTTGCGTACAAAGTCGCTGCCATCTGAATCTGGCATTCTCACTAGAGCGAGGCAACTGTGTTTGAGATGCTATGTACATACATACATACATACATACATACATACATACATACATACGTACGCATGTACATACATTACATAAGCTTGGATAGGTAGATATGTCATCTATATATATTTATATACCTATCCAGGTAGGGCACTGGCATCAGAAACAGCACCAAGCAAGACTAGCTGGTCGAACCTTTGTCCAAAGATAAGTTTCAACTGCAGATCGCTGGTGGACAGCGATGGCAAGCCCGCATGCGCGACTACTAGTAGTTCTCCCTGGCTGCTCAAACTACTCACTGGATCGTAGCTACTGTAGCCCAGAACAACCAGTGTTCTAACCCGTGTATTATGAAGCCCCATGGTGACCTTGGCATATTCATGTACATCCATACGATTAATTAATCGTATGCTGCATATGTACATACATATACTAACATATATGTTTTTCTATGTATGCAAACTATACGTTTGTAATATGTGTGTGACAGCACCCCGAGGCCTCGTCATCTGCCGTCCTTCCTCGGCACAATTCCGCACTACTTCACGGCGCGATGTTGCGGGAGATGCGATGCGAGTAAGCCTCCCGTCTCACTTCTTTGATGTGAGCTGTCCAGCTGATGTTTCGACTCTCATGATCGCACAACGCAGCCAAGCTGCGGCAGGGCCGGCACAGAGCAACAAGAAAAACCGCCCAACCCAAAGCTCACCACACACAGTCCAAGAGCACTCGATCTTCACACTGAGGGCTGTACCATCACTGCGCAGGTCTGGCGGTGGGCTTGCACGGTCCCTTGGCAGTGTCGGAGGGTTTCCCCCAAATAAGCTAAGTAGCTCTGTTTGACCGTGCAAGTAGACTTGATAAAAACACTTGGGCCAGCGAGTATGCGGTAGACTGGTCTTCGAACTTCGGATTCGGAGGAAGCGAAGAAAGTAGAACTTGCCTCGCCTATGTGCTCTGAGCTCAGCGCATAGAACCCTTGACTTCGGCTTTCGGCTCAAGCTCGGAAGCGTGCTAAACTTTGTCTTACCCCCGCATGCCATCTCTGGTCACCTGGGCTCTCCCACCCATAGCTGCGGCTGGTTCTAGAGCTGGCGCGAGAATCCTTATTGCAGGCGGAAGGTCAGCTTTGCGAGTGGTACCGTATGGTACCGTCGTGGGCGAGACATTGGGCTGGGCATTGAGCCGGGACTTCCTTGTGCAAACCTGCTTTCATCCACGCTTGAGCAAGTTGCTGGCTGTGCTGCGCTACGATCGAAGGATGCCATCGCGACAGCCGTCGGGTTATCGGGCTAAGCCGCTGCTGTAAGTGCTCCCGATCCCAACCCGAAAGTATGTCAACAGGCCCAGCAATTGTTGAATCTCAGCGGCCAAGGCGTCCAACATCCAGGCAGGGCTGTCGGCACGCGACGTCAAGGCGCGAACCCAACTCTGACCTCAAAACTTCAACTGCGTCGGATTGATTTGCCGCGGCTGGGAAACACAAGATCTCTCTTCCGTATTGACATGCGCCACGCTGGGCTTCCCGATTTTCAGAGCAGAGATTCACTCTGTAATGTAATTTAATTGCATGTCCCGGAACCGCGGAGCATTTCTAAACAATCGTATACACATGCGCATGTACATGATTTATATACATGCATATGTGTATATATATATATATATATTAATTCTATATAAAGGTCTGTATACCTAGACAGGTCGGTACTGGTAGATGGATGGATGGACGGGTGGGTATGCACGCAGGTAGATAGATAGATAGATAGATAGATAGATAGATAGATCGATAGATAGATAGATAGATAGGTAGGTAGGTAGGTAGGTAGGTAGGTAGGTAGGTAGGTAAGTAGATAGATAAAATATGGTATAGATATGATGTAGATGTAGGTGTAGATGTAGATACAGACATAGACATATACAAGTACACGTCACACACACACACACCAATAATTGCTGTACATGCAGAAATGCATTTAGCAGTGTAATCGCCCCCTCCTGAAGAATCGCCACAAGGCAAGACTACTCCAGTACAGTTGCGGCCTATGGAGATACCCCGACGGCCTGGCTGGGGAACCGATATATACATACATATATTACGTATAAACATGCATATATAAACATATATGTATGTATGTATGTCTGTGTATTTATATATATATATATGCTCACGCCCCCACCCCCCCAAGATCTACCCGAGCTTGCTTTTTGTAAGCAGTGCATCATGGGGAGGTGGGCAACCTCAGATGTGAAACACTGGCAGAGATCAAATTTCCCCAAACATTCCTTTTGCATCCGGTCTGCAGCGACTCTACCGGGAAGACGTCCCCAAACATTCCTAAAGCCTGAAATGCGAAAACACTGGCAGGGATCAACTTCCCCAAAAACCCCAAGATCTGAGCAACTATCTGCCCCCCGCACTCCCCATAGATGCCAGGATTTTAGCAACTTTGGAAAAATATGATCCCTGCCCATGTTTCTCATCTCGGGGAATTTGGAGCCTGGCACTTTGGCAACCTCAGATGCAAAAACTTCGGCAGGGATCAAATTTCCCCACAATTTCTTGCCCACGCACTCTCCATAGATGCCAGGATGTTACCAATTTTGGTAAAAGTTGATCCCGGCCAAGGTTTTCGCATTTCAGGCTTCAGAAACTTTGGGGATATAGATGAGAAAACATCAGCAGGGAATATACATGTTACTAATATTCCTTGTCCCCGCGTGCCTCATTCATTCCCACCCGCCGAGCTGACAATGTCGCACCGCATTCCTCATGGTTTAAAAAGACCCAGCTCTTTTGTGCTTTGTGAATACGGAGAGACAGAACATCGTCTTTTTATTATATGAAGATGGGAAGAGGCTTAGGCGAGAAGGCAGGAGCCTCTCTTGCTTTAATTGCTGCTAGTAAGGCACAAACGAGTCTGGTTATTTGTTTGCATGAGCCAAGTGGTCTTTTGCTTCATGCTAATGCTAAGAGAGGAACAGCGAACGCTTTCCAGATACATTTCGTCCTACTAGTAACTCCCACGAAGCATGGAAAGTATATCGGCATTGTTCCATACTCTTCTGAAGAAAAGAAAGGTTGATCTTTACTCGGTCTTTGCTTTTGTTCTTGCTGCTAACGCACGAAAATCTAACTTGTTTGTCTGCTTGTAACAAGAGTTCTTTCATTCCACATGATATAAAGAAGCGAGCAGCTGTTCCATTCGTGTTACGAAGCGTAAGAAGCTCGACGCACTTGACTTCTGCTCGAATGTGCTCGGAGTACGGTGGAGGGAGACCGAGTTCTTTTCCGAATCATCAATATTTGATACTATCCTGTTAGATGTTGGCAGATTGTAAGAGCTCGTTGAGTTCTCGCCAATGATAAGGGACTGAGGAGCCTTCTTGTGCTTCTTTGTGACGAGAATAGGATTTCTGATGAATAGCACCAAAAGCAACTACGCTAGCACGGACGCAGAACCAGATCCTGGTTTGGGTTTTGCGTTGTTTACACATACAACAAACAAGCACAATAAGCAGAGGTCAGTATGTTTGAAGTGCAGAAACCACTGTAAGTACCGATGGCTTCTGGACCTTGGAGAAAGCATTTGGAGACATGAGACTGTGGACGAACAGATGGCTAGAAGGCTGGGGTGGATCATGGCGGGGGGGGGGGTGACCATATATATA